AAAAAAAAAAAAAAAAAAAAAAAAAAAAAACGAACAGAGAATTTCACCGGTGACAGTGAATATTTTCGCCGGCCGGGAACAATTCACAGCAAAAACCGTTGACGACAACGCCATCAGAGTTAGGAGATACCAATCTCAATTGAGACGATTTGTACCAGATGGAGCAATTATGCCGCTAAGCTCCCCAATATGCAGATTCATCTATTGCCAAACACTCCAGCTCTTCATCAGCTGCGTAACAGCGTAAACGTCACCGACAAGTTTAAAAACATCATTTCCAACCGCCGAGATGTACAACCGGGCCAGGACAGACCTCACTCCCGTGGCCAACTTCGGAAGTTACAACGGCTGCTCCGACTTCAAAATGAGGGCCAGGTTTCTCCGACTTCAACGTCTCCGGAATGAACTCGGTCTATCCGACCTCACTAACAAACCGACCTCGGGACTTCGGCATCCTCAACATCATGTCACCACCGAGCCCGACTTACCTTGGAGCTCAATTCTGCCGACCAAGTTCGACATCAGCGTCTCCAACATCAAACTTCAACTAGCCGCTGGGGCCCAGTTTCACAGTAGTTGGTCTCTGAATCAGGACCCGACTTCCACAATCGGCCTCGTATTGTTGGGACCTCGCGAGCCGACGTGAACCTCAGCCCGGGAACCGACGTCAAGCTGCCGGGTAGACCATACATATTCATCTCTGATTAGTCGCGGGAACCGAACTAGTAGTCTTTGATCTCCAAATCGCATCCGGGCCAACCACGATAACAAGCCAGTCCCTTCAACATCGGGCTTGGAACTCCACACCGCAAATGGTCCGACCTTATCATTTCCGATTATGTTATCACCCGGGCTGACCTCGCCGACGAATTCCAAAACGAGATTTGATCCCCGACGGACGACCATCATGACCGACTTCGCAGCCGACGGGATCAACGTCACCATATCCCTGACGACATTATATTACTAGCCGATTACCGACATCACCATAGTCAGCCGACTTTAACACGGCCGAGTTCGGATCGCTAGACAAAATCGAATTTCATATCGAACGATACTGTTGTCGGAGTTTTGAAATTGCAGTCGAACCGACTTCCATTTTCAAGCCTCGACGGCAAACAGGAGGACAATTTCATTCCTCCCGATCTGCACATCGGGACCGAGCCCACAACTACCAACTTCAGTCGACGGGTCTTGGCCATACCATCATCACCGACTTCAGCCCGTCAGAACTGACCTCACTGGGACCTGACATTTCCATCTCCGACTTTAGTCACGGCCACCGACCTCATTTTCTTCGGCCACCGCTGAGCTGCGCAAATCGGCCCAAACCGACCTCAGCATCTCGGGCAGATCTCAAATCGGCGCCGACCAACTTCACAATGATCAAACTGACTTCCGTTTTCAAGCCTCAATGACCAATCCGAGGACAATTACATTTCTCCCGATCCGCATATCGGGACCGAGCTCATCACTACCGACTTCGGCTACACTATCATCACCGACCTCGGCATATATGACTTTATCATTGCCGAGCTTCCACTTCAACCGAGACTCGACTACATCACGTCGCCGACTTCAAAGTTGGGGCCAAGTCGGGGCCGAGTTTCTCCGACCTCGCCATTATAGGGGTCCGACCTCATTTTGCCGACTTCTACAGGCTGGGCCTGTTGGTGTTATATACTTAAGCTGTGCTTTAGTGGATATTTCACTTGTTAT